TATTTAAAATCTCGAATATTAAAAGTTCTTTATTTTTATAAATTTTCAGCGAGTTTAATACGTATATAATAAAATTATTTAATTCTTTTAAAGGCCTATAGTAAGTAGACTAGACGGGAGAAGAACTTAGAGAATTTTACTAATACGTAGATAAGATATAGCTATATCTTTAGAATCTTAATTCTCTTCGATTAAGAATTATATAAATTATAAATATTTAAAGATATAAGATAAGTAATAGATTTATATCTTCGATCTATTAGTTATAGAGACTATAACTATTAAGAGAGAGAAATAGTATTATAAGCGTATTCTTAATATACTTCTTAGCTCTATAACTAGCGGGCCTTAACGAAGATAATTTCTATTATATTATATCTTCTTTTCACCTATATAGTTCGATAGTCTTATTATTCTTAATCTATCTTACTTATACTAGTATCGTATCTATACTAATTCTAATATAGAATATCGTATATAAATTAATTAATCTTAAAAGAACGTTTAGAACGCTATTTTTTATATCGTCTAGTATTAGAAAAGCTTAAATACTATCTTATTTTTACTTAATATTTACTTATATTATATATAATATTCTTTTCTATATATATATCTTTTATTATTTTTTCGCTATTCTTTCGAATATTAATAGCTTTATAAAATTTAACTTTCTTATAAGTAATAGCTTTCTAATAACGAGATCTATAAGTAAACGTATATAGAAGTATATTATACTTTATAATAAACTATTTAAAAGTATTTATAGTAGTATTTTAATAGAAAAGTTAATAGTAGTCGAGTAAATCTCGAGAATAATAACTTCTAATATTCTCGAGATAGTAGTTACGTAGTAAGATAAGTTTTTCTAAATCTCTTCTAATAAAGTCTAAAAGATTAGACGATTTTAAATCGTTAAATGAATTATTCTTCTATAGCGATAGCTAATTAACTAACTACTCTCTCTCGTTACTATTAGAAATACGTCTATCGTACTCGAGTATCTATTATCTATTAGCCACCTAGCCTTTCTATAGCTGAAAGATATTAAATATAATCTCGTTACCCTACATATAGACTGGCGTATTACGTTTACCTCGCTATCGACTATCTCGCTATCGACTATCTCGCTATTCGCCTTATATAATTCTATCTCTTTTAATCTTACTTCGACTATATATAAGATTTATATCTTATACGACTAGCGGCCGCGCGAAAGCTAATCGAATTTAAAAGAAGTATATATATATTAAAAGAAGATAAATATATATTAAAAGAGAATATACGTATATTATATTTTATCTTCTAATTAATATATATAAAAAGAATAAGATAGAGCTAAGCTTAAAAATCTTAAATATATATATATAGTTAATTATAAATTCGAGGTTATTACGTCTTTTAGACTAAAATCGACTTTTTAAATTATAGTCTTATAATATTAAAGCGTAAGAAATTACGTTTACGCGATATTAATTACTTATTAAATCGCTTACTCTATTTACTCGATAGCTCTAATTAATAAATATTACTAATTTCTAATTTATAAATCTTTACGATTATTTTTATTAAAATTATAGATACGCTAAATCTCTAAATAAGGGCTTTTAAATAAAAATGAACCTTTTTATTAAATAGCTTTAGTCTTTCTAGTGATAATTACTTTATATAGCGTAAGTATTTACAAATTTACTCGCTCTATTAAAGTTATAACGTATATTACAGATCGCTTTTCTATATTACTATACTTAAGACGAGGGTTAATTTATAAATATACTAAGAGAATATAGCGTATATATAGAACTTTTATTAGTCTTCGTACTCGTAGTACTTATAATAATTAAAAGAGTTAAAAGATCTTATATCGCGTTAAATTAAACTTGAGATATATTTTAAAAATAACATAACGTAATAATAATACAAAATACTTAGATATGTGGAATATCGATTTGATGGAGCTCCTGCCCACATGTACTCTTGCGATTCAATGGAAGGGCGAGTTACTAGACCATGGTCATGACCTTTTTTAAAAAACAGGGAAACGTTGAAGACACATGCTCTTCGCCACGCGATAATGCTTCTTTGCGATAAGAGATATGGACATTGTTAGTCGCCTGGAGGGAAATCTGGTATAATGTAACTCACCTGGGTAGGAGACGGCTTCTGGTCGTCTCAGAGGCTGGACATGCTAAGATTAGTGACTCGCGCAAAAGCAGCAAAGTACCACTTCGCAGAAGTGTCCATTGAATGACGATAGTCTATAAGCCATCGGGCCTTCCTCGACTGATAGCGATATGGGGCGAAGGGAGTCTTTGACTGTCGCAAGATCGAGAGCAGCCGAACCTTCTACAAGGCTCACGGATCCCCTAATACAGGATGGGCGAAGCGCAGCGACGGCAGTTACCTTACCCATCTGCTCGACTACTGAGTAAACAGCCTCCGACGGGGGTTGAGCGGATACTTACACTCACCTATTATAGTGTCCCAACATCTACACATCTGATCCCTTAGGGTCTTTGCCACGAAGTTTGTACTGTCTTTGAAGCTGTCCTCGGGGTGGTAAGCTCCTGACTCGTAGACGTTGGCAATTGCTCTCTACACAATCCACTCGCCTAGCACTACTGTGGAGGTTCATATTCACATAGAAAAATGAGGAGATGGGGGGGGCTTGGAAAGGAAATATTACGAGAGGGAATTAAATCACTGCACATTTTGCAACTCGAAGAGCAGGAGCCTGCGGCGCAGCGCTATACAGCTATGGGAAACCTCTCTGGTTTATCTTTAGACAGCAGCGTGTCGAATTGCGGACAACAACGATTCCCGTGAGACCCGGCAATTTCTCCAACAGATTCCTGATGTTAAGATCACAGAGCCGTCGAGGCTAAATGAAAAGTAGATCGTATGCTTACAGAAGTGACCCTTATCGAGCTACTCTGCTGGGTAAAACTATCAACATTTTCTGGGTATAAGCTCGGCAAGCCGCTGATTGCTTGAATGACTCTCGGACAACAGCGATATGCAACCGGGTATCCCACCTCGTAACAAACTACGTGGGGAAAATATTGCATATCGCAGTCTACTGACCTAGTCAGCAAGAGCGTACCCTCGGATATCTTCGTTCGAGATTGTTGATAAGCATCAGATGAAGAGGATCAACCGTCGCTCAATCTTGTTCTTTGGTATCACTCTCGGGCTTGCTTATGCGCCTCTCTTTTTGTTCCTTCTTCCTTCGTTTTCGCTCAGCCCTTTCTTCTGACGTTTCCTCCTCCCTTGCCTTTCTCTTCTTCCCTCCTCCGCCTTCTCCAAGTTTGGCCTCTGCAATCGCTGCTTGGCCGCTGACGGCAGGAGCAGGAGGCCCCACCACCAAAGCATCAGGGCCTGAACGTGTAGTGACAGGCGGGCCAAGGGTAGAGCCATTGATACTGGAGGGGGCGTTGAAGTCGGTATAATCCTCTTGCCATTTGACAGGGGTGGCCTCGTTTGGTCGACCATATTTCTGCAAACAGTCAGGCTATCTCGACTCTTTTCAGACCACAAAATCCAAGGCTTACATCGAGTTTACCGTCCGATTTCATCTTCTTTTTCTCGAGAGCGACAGCACCTAAGCCCCATCTTCGTGGGTATAAATCACGTTCCATGATACATCGCTTGACCTTTGCTACGACCCCGTGGTCGCAGCTAGAGAGCTCCACGGTAGACATTTGTGCAATGCCGAGAGCAATAGCTTCGCCTTTTGTTGTCATCAACACAACTTCTTCGTGGACGTGAATTTCGCTCTCTGTTCCGGGTTAATATGGACGAAATGTTGGGAGGGAACAGGACTTACCGTAACGTAGGAGACCCGGGATCATTAGCTTCGCTATGAAATATGAGCACTTCGGTCGATAGATTGAATGTTCAAACAGACACCTACCACCATAGCAAACAGCATTAACGGCGCTATCTTTAACTACGATTCGTTTGTAGGTGGTGAGCAGACTTTCCAATGGCTGGACTACCTTTCTCAGGTATGACTCGTCCCGAGTATTATCGAAGCTCCATCTGTAAAAAGCGTTAATATGAATCCATCACAGGATTAGCCGTGGGACGTACTGTGCATCGAGGACATCGTGCAGCGTCACCGAGCCTTGACGTTCGTCCATCGCCCCACTTCGCACTCTTCTCAGCTCTTGCATATGCGCCCCTACCCCCAATATCAAGCCCAAATGAACGCACAGTGTCCTGATGTACGATCCAGCCTCACAGCTGACCCAGAAAACGCCGAGGTGTCTTTCATTGTCGAACTCATAGAGCTTGCTCTCGTATATTGTTCGGATACGCAATTGACGTTTAACAGCAGATATCAATGGTGGACGCTGGAATAATGATCCAGTCAAGGTCTCCAACGCTCTGTTCATTTGTGCCTCCCCACCTGGTAGCCTGTCATGGAGCCTAATTACGCAGACGTATTCCTTACCAGCTCCCTGCTGACTCTTCACAAGCCTTGTTGCCCTATCAATACATACGATCAAACAGCCCGTCACGCGAGGATCCAAAGTGCCGCTATGGCCTGTTTTCTCAACCCGAAGTATTCTTTTGATCCATGCGACAACCTCGTGACTCGAAGGATTAGAAGGCTTGTCCAAATTGATCACCCCGGACCGTACATAGTCGGCAAGGTCCCGCTGTAGGGGATTGGCACCGCAAGGAATAGGCGTAAAGTGACCTGTCCTAACGAGCAGTCTGCTGTAGTCCTTCAACAGCAAAGGCCATGAACTGGTGTCAAGCTGAGGCGTCGTCGCCTGAGGTTTGATAGAATAGTCCATGTCTTGAGTAAATGAGCCTACATCCATTGTGACAGCTTCGCACAAGCGCAAATTTTTCAAAGTTGAGGTAAAAGTCCGAGAGTTCTTCCGACGCGCTAGGGGGCTGGTGCGACTGAAGATAATAGATGAGGAAGGTCAGCCGAGAAAGCATTACTTGACAGTGATGCATTGATCAAAACTTTGCGGCCAACCACCACCATGCCGCCATCAGTACGACTTCTACAGCACACGGTCCGTGTCACTCTCTTTACCCGCGAAAATTGCTCAATCTGCGAGAAAGGGAAAAAAGTGATTCAGGAAATAAGCAAGAGGAGGACTTTTGACTACCGCCAAGTGGATGTCATGGCTTCTGATCAACAGCAGTGGAAGCCTCTCTACGAATTTGATACTCCTGTGGTAGGCATTCCAATGCCCTTGTAATAAGGCGCAGCTGACCCGAGGCCGAAGCTCCACGTTCAACGCGTTTTCCATACCTACTCGAAGCCTGATATTGCCACGGAAGCTTGCAAATTGATGCATTATTTTGACGAAAGACAGGTGGAAGAGCTCATCGATGAGGCCGAGGGACACTCATAAATCCATTACCCGCTCCGCAATTCGGGGCAAATAAGTACATAGCTTATGCCCTTACGGAGTAAGGTGAGGCTAGCTTCCTTGTGAACCTGTCATCTTTGCAAGCCCTGACATTGCTCCCTTGCCCATATTCAGTGCTGAATGAACGTAAGAGCCTCTGGCCGTCGTCAACGCAGAAGTCATGTACGCCGGCAATGCAACCATATCCGTCATCACTGACACCTGCATGAAGCAGTAGCATATCAGCAATGCCCAGCCTTGTGCATCTACTGCTGATTCATATCGTACTCCTGCAACATGGGCTGAAAGCAACGAATGCCGAGGACTTACCATGTTGAACCCCTGGTCAGCGAACTCACGAGCTTGATCACCCGACGTGGAATATATGCCACTGCTCTTTTCGTTCTCCTTCGCTGCTCGGTGGATCTTGGCAATGGCTTCTTTCAGCTCGTCATGCATTGTGCCGTCGACAATTGAATGCCCGATATTATTTCCCAAATCGAAGGGGCCCACAAACAAGACGTCTATTCCCGGAACCTTTGCTATAGCATCGACCTAAAACGGGGCAATTAGCGCCACGCGGTGGAGAACGAGATTCTGTCACGTACGTTTTCTAAGGCTTCTTTAGTTTCTATCTGCACGATGGTCACCAACGAATCGTTTGCCTGCTGCAAGTACTATGAAGATTTCGGGATCAGCTTTCCTCCTTCAATACAGCCCGAGTAATGAAGTCTTTAAAAAAGTTACTTCTGCCGAGGTCTGGCCCCCAAACTTCTCCATTGGAAAAGGAGATCCGAAACCTCTCGTCCCCTCCGGAGGGAACTTGGCTGATTGCACGACTCTCTTTGCGTCCTCTGCGGTGTATAAAAGGGGTACAATGATGCCATGAGCTGCAGCTCTCGTTAATGGGAATACTTTTGAATATCTGTTCTTTGTTTTGGTAGAATTCGTACCTCCGGAATCGAGTGCACCTGCAGGACAGTTAACGGAGTTTACCGTTGCACTGCTATCATGGGCCCTCACGCTTGACCATCCAGCCTTCATTAGCTGCTATGCGGACAATTGGGCTGACCCCACAACCTGCAATTGCTGGAGCTGGTTGTCAGTGCCTAGAGGGTAATCTATTGTTCTATGTGACATGAGCCAGTGATTGTTTTACCTGCAACAGCCTCGTGCATGGCGCTGTCTACTGAGTGTCAGTGGCCAGCTGGCGCTGGTGCTGTTCTGTGTGACACGAGCAACTGATTGTGTTACCATCAATGTTTCCATGCTCTGTATCTACCAAAACCCAGTCAAAACCGCAACGTGCTATAGTCCTTGCCTGATTGCTCCCGGGCAGCATTTGCCAACTGGAAACCAGTCAGTTCGCACGCAATGCTCAATCGAACACTCAAACATACGCTCCGAAGGTCAGGCCAGAGCCCGTTCTGAGGGCCTTTTGTAGTTTATTGGCAGCCTGCATTTCAAAAGTGTTACAGAGTATCAGGGATTTGCTAAGTTTCTTATGAGACCTATTTCACAAGACCTTCTTTGTGCAGCAGTGGATCTGGATCATTCCCTGGTGGGACTGTCAGTTGGAATGATGCAACCCCGCGTTTGATAAGATAAGATAAGATAAGAGAAAGCAGAATCGAACATGCTATCCTTTTTGTAGCAGCAGACCAAACTGAGTATGAACCGCGCAATCTCATTACAATCTCCTGACATCTAGTTCAACAGCACCCCAAGCCCTCGAAGGCTTCGGCCGTGAGTAAATGGACAATAAAGAGTCTGGAGAATATTGTTGCTTGTGAAATGGCTTTTTGAGAAATGACTGAGACTGTTTGTTCGGCATTTTGTAGCTGTTTTCTATTGTTGCCTAAAGTTTAGTTAAAGAATGCAGAGTTCGTAGCTTGGTAGAGACGAGTCATCTTCTGGAGCAAGAGTCGATGCAATCGGGTCCGCGAGGGAGAAGCTTGGGCCCTGTATCCTTGTTGGTGGAGAAGCACGACACATGTACCCAGAGCTACGTAAGTCTTCGGACCTACGCCATCTCTCGTCCTCCGAAGCAGAAGCTGTAAGCTGTCTTCGTTCCGATAGACGCTCAACTTCCTGTCTTCTCTCGTGTTCGAAGTGGTCATAAGCAGATGCCTTTACTTTCTTCGGTGATAACATCCTTTCCGAAGCAGACGAAGTGAAAGGGAAAGAAGCCCAGACGGCCTCTTGTTCAGCAGGGTCAATAAAATCATCTTCGGCCCCTTCCCCTGAGTGCTGATCATATGAAGAGTGCATGCGTGCGAATAAATGTCTCGCATCGTACTCTCGTCTCGATTCTGCTCTGCTACGCTCACGTGGCAATGGCAAATCACACCAGAGACAGACGCGTCCTCCAAAGCCTTCCGATTTCGGCTCTGAACATCCTTTGCCATGGCATTGTTTGTTTCTGATGTCGAGGTTTGAATTTTGCTTGGTCTTGCACCTCAAGCACAAGTGTCCATCTTTAGCTGTGCAGATACATTCTGTACGCATGAGATAGGAATTCAAAACAATCTTTTCTTCGCCGTTCAACGAAGTTTCTTGGTGAGGATTCCCTGAGTCGAAGCATTTGGCACAGAGTGAGCACATTCGATTTGGGAATGTGTTCTCGTCACGCCTTCCGAACGAAGCTTTGATGATACAAACCTCACAAACAGGCATGGAACACATCAGGCATCCATTGATCTTGGCACCTCGAGTGTGCTGAGGCTCTGAGCAACATAGCAGACTTTTAGCTTTCAGATTCTTCCAATGCGAGGTGTCGTGCCTTCCAATAGACAGAGTTGGACGCACTGCTTTGAGCGAAGATGGCTTTTCGAGGGATCTGATGGGAAATCCATGCACGGCCGCACGGAATTTTGAATTCGCTTTCGACAGGTTGAAAAGATCACCAAGTGGTAAGACAGCCACGAGATTCTCTAGTATTGGATACGCGCATAGCAGTTCAAGTAGAGGTGCCATGATTATGGATGTATTAAAAAGTATGCTTTACGAAGATCAGGGTCGAGAACGAGGCAACACTAAGGTATGTGAGAAGGAACTGGAGGACTTTTATTGACTATGAAACTCAATCTCCTATACCCGGCAGAAAAAAGAAGTTCTAACATCGATGCAATCTAACGTTCGAAAGTTTGGAGAAAGATCGTCCGAAGCTTCGGAGGTCATACTTGTACTTGGTCCGGAGAATCGTCGGCGATGATCGTTGCCGCGCGAGGCGCCGCTCCGGTCTATCAAAACTCAAGCCAGCCTCCCCGCACGTACCTATATTATGCGGTTCTTTTTGGGTGCAAAGGCTAGAGCACTAACCCTAAGCTTGTAGGGCATCTCGAAAAAAATCTCAACAGTTCTCGTGTATGCACGCAGTCGAGATCCTCCCCGACCGGTATTCTGGTAATTCAGTTGACTATATCAGCTTTGCCAGTATATTTCGAGCCTCTTGAGATCCATTGACGCTGGTGAATAGGCTTCGAAAATCCTGAATCAGAAACAGCCTTGCTATCTCCTCCTACCATAGACTCAGTGTTTCATACTTCATAATATCGCTATCGGGATTACTTACGGCATCCTTCAGCTCGTTCTCTTCCTTCTCCGAGATTTTCGCGCATGCAATTACCAGGTCCTCGCCTTTTGCACTGATATCCAAGAGGTAGTTGGCCCTGTCAACGATTGTCGCGTCAACGCCGTTCAAGGTCGCGCAGCTTGAGTATCAATTAGCGAGATAACCCATGATGCTTGGCAGTGCCTCACCAGCTGCCATAACTTGTATTACTACGGCCGGCTCGAAAGCTGTTTGTATGGTCAGCGGAGCATTGGCATTGTATCGATGTTCGTACTTATATAGATAAGTTACCTGATCCTCTAGGTCTTTTGCCTCACGATCGAGACGCACCTCCATATAGCCGTAGGTTAGGGAGGGTCGAGGTTGCAGGAATCCGTTTTCGATTATCTCATGAAAGTGAGTGGCACCCAGAACTTTGGGTCTGTCAATTCCGAGGCCAAGGAAATGCTCAAAGACGCCGCAGGCTAGGCCGGCACCATCTTGTAAACACAGTCAGTAATGAAGTCGTAGTTTCTGAAAGAGAGAGATTCTCTTCAAAGGGTATTGTACCGCTTGAGTCAGTTCCTTTGCCAAACTCATCAATGATCACTAAGCTCCGGTGTGTTGTCAACGTCATCGCAAGAGCAACTTGCTGCAGGTCAATCATGAAGGCACTTTGAGAACGTGATACGGTCTCTCTAGTAGCAATTCGAGTCAATATCTTGTCCGTCAGCCCCACAATCGCGCGGTCTGCCGGTACAAAGCAGCCGACGTGTGCCATATACACAATTAGTGCAACTTGTTTGAGATAAACGCTTTTGCCGGAATAATTTGGTCCGGTCATAATCAGCATGCTGGGTCCTTCCAAGGCGTCGGAGTCAATGGTTTTCTGGAAGACTTCCCTAGTCGCCTCGTCGTTTCCAGCTTGGACTTCTTGAAATTCGGTCGGGTCTGGGGGGCCAGGTCCTCCAACAAGGAAGGTATCGTTGGGAACATATGCTGGAACTGTGAGCTCTTGCAACGCATGCCTGCTAGAGTCAGCATTTGTGCCATCCAGGCAGAAGTCCGAGTGGAAGAATGGCTCACCGACCACCTATGGAAGTTGTGGAGTCAGCATTAATTCTTGAAAAGCAAAACTCCGAGCATTAGACCAACTTGAAGTAATACCAAGACTAAGAGCCTTTCGCTCACAAACATGCTTTACAGCCAGCACTTTGGCCCGGAATAGGAAGTATATGCTCCGAACATGGACATACCTTTGATCTGAATGACGTTATTGCGTGTTATACGTGGTCTGGAGAACTTGTAACTTCTTGCCCCTTGTGCAAGCGCGAGAAGGCTATGATGGTCAGTGAGTAGAGGGAAGTGGTCTGTTTGTAAACCGACCTATCTAGCTCTCCACAAATATCGGAGGCTTGATTTAGCATAGCTTCTTGCTCTAAAACTCGCTCCCCGAGCTCATGGATGATCTCTATCTCTTTATCTGCGGGTTGTCATCGGCCATTCCACTGATACTGCCAACATCTCGGGGCGTACCGCAGATTACAGCATACATGTCTCCTAGCGTTTCGTCAAGCTCACGCATTCGGAAATCCTTGTAGTATACTCTCGTTGCCGTTGAGAAGATACGATCCCAGTGCTGATCCTGTATCTCACCTCCTTCCCAGTCGCCTCTACCAGTGTCTGGATTGAGTGGTATTGAGATCAAGAAGCCGATCTGGGGGAAGAAGATGACATTCAAATCGAGACTAAAGATTGCCGGTATCGTCGCGGCAATTTCTTGAGAGGTTAGATTTAGCAAATCTTCGATGCCGTCGTAGGTCCGTTTCATGTTGTCCAACTCAGCGCTGACACCCGACTTGACCACAGTGCGATGCATATCCGCAGACGCGACGAAATCAACCTGAGACGGCGGATTTCAGCATGTGGACTTGATTCTTCCGGGACGAACCAGAATTGCGAGTGCATACTATCCCACTAACGTTCCTTCCTATTCTCGCCAGCCCGTGAGGATCGAGCTTCTGAAGAATCTAGCTCTTGTTTTCAGCTACTCGGGAGCAGATGGTTGGAGATTTCGGTGCCCACTTTCGTTCCAATCTTAAGACTCTCCATGCCGTTTACCTCTGCCAGAGCATCCCTAATTTGCAGCGTATGAAAAGCGAACTACAACAATTAGCATGAATCTTCAGTATTCAGATGCCTTACCGATCGGAGACTCGACCAGATGCCGCTCTTAATCCCACCTCCTCTACTCAACCCATTGCTGATACCCTTTCTCAGATGTATCATCACCGTCCTCATGTTCTTTATCTGACCCAAGCTCTTGACGATACCATTCATTGGACCATTGTTGTCTGGTCTCAAGAACACGCTAGCGGTCTCGAGCCTCTGGTTGATCACGTTCAAATCTAGACTCGGGCGCAGAAAGTACTGCCGGAGAAGATATTTGCCTTGTGGAGTCCTTGCAAAATGGTGAAAGAGGCCGTAGACAGAAAGACCCTCCTTGGATCCAGAGGAGGCATTCGTTGGGCCTTGGCTGTGTGTGTTTGGGTTGGATTCTGACTGCAGTATCTGTAAAGAGGCCAAGGTGTCTGCATTGACGAACCTAGGCATTTCGCTTCAGCAGTATGCTCCATATTCGTCGGAGACACCGATGCTTACATTATGCCTTTCAGACTGAACATTTCAATTGTGGAGATACGGAACGAGTTGCCTGGGTTAACATCGTTAGGCAGGTATTTGACCGCTTTCCTCCTTGTTACGTATGTGAGTAGCGCACCAGCACATCCGATAGTTAAGCGGCTTTCTATATCGATCGACGCTGATAACCTTAGTAGTTGACCCTGACGGCCTGTATATCCTGCGCCGATACCCTCGCCGTAGTCATCGTAAGGATCATTATCTGCTGGTGTGATGAATGAAATCTCGGGGCTGCCGTCAGCGAAGAGGCGAAGATTGATGAGCTTGTTCTTCCCAGCGTCGTAGCTGAACTCTTGGGACGGACGAATTTCAAGCACGTAGGGCAGAGAGAATTGGTCACCTATCAGAGCACATAGAGCGTAAGCTGGAGCATTAAATGACGTCTGAGGTCCTTACTATCTCCGTTGGCTGAACCTCGACTCCTTCCATCTGGGTCAAAGTACCGCTCGACGGTCTCGTCCACTCGCATTGATAAAATGACCACCGTGGGCTGAATGTGCAGCTTCACTATCTCCTCATCAGTCCGTGGACAAGAAATTCCCAAAAGCATACTAACAAGTGCCAATCATCTCCAAGCCTCCACATTGAATATCCTCTACCAAATGCAAGCTGCCCGTAGAGGACTCGTAATAACAACAACCGACGGTGCCCCTTTCTCTCATGTCAACGCACATGATGACTTCGTCAGGATCGCTGTCCTCTTCTTGCTCCCCTTCAATTTCATTCTCCCGAGCTACATCGACAGCGGAAGCAGCAACGGAAGAGAGGCTGGAATGTCGATAGCCAGGACGTACATAGAAAGACGGAGCACTCGAGCCAGGATTGTTTCCAGGAAGATGCAGACCGACTCTTTTGGTAGGTCGTTGCTGAGGATGCTTGGTTCGCTGGTAATGACGAAGTGGAGATGATTGGACAAAGGATGATGCACGCGCGTCATTACTTTGGCTCACTGTTGGCGTTGCAGTGATGGAGCCATCACGACGACGCTTAGCGGCAATCATGGTCGCTTTTAGGAGCGAAGAGAGCGACTCGAGAGAAAAGTGCGAAAGGCCTGTTGGTTTTGGAAATGTGCATAAGTTCAAGCGACCATTCCCGCCCAAGGAAAATCACACACTCTCCATATTATGGAGGAGACTTGGCAAGGTCGTGTTGGATTTCTCAAGACTATCTAAAAATGACATGCAATGTCTATCGAATGCAGTCGCTGTGAGCCGCGATCGATCATCTTTAACCTCGGTCTGTACAATAACCTTCTGATACTAGGGCAGTGTTCCATGCAGTACGCGCAACAGTCAAGAATCTTTTTTTCTACTTATGTTCATCAGCCACAAATCTTGTCTCAGACTTGTACAGATAGGGCGGAGGAATGGAAGCAGTAAGGAAGACATCGAGGAAGAGCGTGTTCAATTACCCACAAGAGCAGAAGGCACCTATCTACATCCGGTGTTTGACATGTCAATAGTAACGGGCCGAAGCCCATTTGAAAGGCGGGCCTTCGCCTGGCCGGAAGCTTCTCCTGAGTTACCCTGCTCATACTCTCTTACAAAAAACAGCGAATCTGCATTTGGTTATGTACTTGGCAGAACTGTCAGACTATGTCCCCCATGTGCTATCTCCACTTTTGCTTGTTGGCCACTTCGAATCTCGCCTCTGGTTACCCTGTCGGTCAGACCAGTTGCAATCTGCTTGGAGATGAGGCGATTCAAATGCCTGGCTCCATATCGAGGGTCAAAAGCTTTCTCTGCTAGCCAATTCCTAATTTCATCGTTAAGCGCGAGCACGATGCGGCGGTCTTCAAGCCTAGCCTGCAACTCATTCAGACGGATATCGACAATATCCCTTAAAGTTGACTTAGACAGACGACGGAAGAGATTGAACTCATCTAGTCTGTTGATGAACTCTGGTGGAAATGTTGAGCCTACAACGGCCATGACTGCCTCTTTTGTAGAAGGTTATAGTTCTGACGAATCTTGATGTATTGGGTCAGCAATCACAAGTATATCAGCGCCGAGATTGGACGTTAATACGATGTGGTGTTGCGAATGTCGACTTTGTGTCCTTGTGCATCTGAGAGAATAGCTTCGGTCAAGTACCTGCAGAAGCAGGCTGGCAATATCGCGGTGAGCATTTTTAAATCCATCGAACAGTAGGACAGCGTCTGGTTTTCTCCGCACGGCATCATTGAGTTGCCCAGCGTCTTCGTAGCTTACACGGCCGGCAGGTGACCCCAACGATCTGCTGACCATGTGCTTTTCCTGGAATTCGCTCATGTCAAATCGAATCATGGCAGACTCTGTTGAAAACAGAGAGCTTGCGAGCTTCTTGCTCAACTCATTTTTCCCCACACCCGTGGGTCCAAGCATAAGGAAGGGAGCAATCGCGCGATTGTCTCCGAAGAGCCCTGCTCTTTGAGATCTCACTGAGTTTGCACTGGCAGTCAGGGTCTCGTCTTGCCCACAGATGGATTGCCGTAGTGTCTTCCATATTGACAAGCTTCTCGACTTCTCCAGAAATCAGCTTGGTGATCGGGATGCCAGTCTGACGAGATACTACGGCCTCGATGTCATTAGCAGAAACAGAGTCGTGAAGTATCTCTCCATGTCGGCCTTCTTCTTGAGGCAATTGAGCTTGAAGCTTGGGAATGATAGAGTATCTCAACTCGGAGGCGATTCCATAGTCACCTTGAAGTTTAGAATTTTGGAGAGCCACGCGCGCTTTCTCCAAATCTGACCTGGCGTTCTTTATGGCGTCAATCTCGGGGTTTTCCTTATTCCACAGCCCTGTGAGTCCTACAACTTTTTCTCGTTTGGACGACAGAAATTACTCGGGCCTTTCCGCTTTATGGTTGTGACGTCGCTCTCCTTTCGCAAACTCTCCAATTCGATCTGGATGGTCATGATCTGGCGGTCCGAATCCTAAAAAGGATCAAACTTACTCTCGTGTTAAAGTCTTTGAGCGGATGCTGCTTCATCAACCAAGTCTATGGCTTTGTCCGTTAAGAACCTGTAGCTCAGATACCTGTTGGACATGTTTGCGGCAGCAACAAGGGCGCTGTCAAGTACCCGGACTCCATGATGGACCTCCTACCTCTCCTTTAGACCTCAGAGAATGCTTACTGTCTCTTGCACGCTTGGCTCGTTTACGAGTATGGGCTGAAAACTCCGAGCTAGTGCAGCGTCCTTTTCGATTACTCGGTATTCGTTCAAGGTCGTCGCCCCACAGCATTGGACCTCCCCACGTGACAGGGCAGGCTTGAGTAAGTTTCCCGCATCCAGAGATCACTTTGCCTTAACAAGCCCCAACAGAGAGTGCATCTCGTCGATGAACAGAATCAATACGGGATTGTTTTTTGTCCTACGAGAAAGGATTTGAATGAGGCGTTGGATATGCTGGCTCATGTCTCCGGGATTAGCGTTGCCAGTTCATAATGGTATTTATGAGCCTTGAATCATGTTTACAGAAGAATAGACGTCAGGGCATGTCCCAAAAACACAACACTTGGTAATTTTTGCGTACCGAGTCACGCCCGATGACTGGATCTAGCTTTCCACCTCTTGCCTTCGATGTCAGGTTCACTCCATACTGTTCTAATGCCAATTCCTCTTCCTTCTTACCATTACCTAGGTTCATTCGATAGGTGCCTCCTGGGAGTCGCGGCCGAACGTTGGCGTAAGAACAGTGGTTCGCTCTGCAGAAGGAGACTGGGAATCGCGATTGGGATTCCAGCTGTTGCGTTCTCGGAGTACATGCTTTAGCAGGCCTCAGCCTTGAAGAAGGTCTCAGCGCTGAAGACGGACATCTTCTGCTCTGGGCAAACCAAGCACGACTGCATGCTCGGGGCAGGATCCTCGACAATTGAAATGGTGTGTGACGACACAGTAGGTAGAAAGTGGACATTAAATACTAGTCCAAGTAAACGCTATCGATAATAAAGAGTATCATTTGAATCTAAACCTTTGCCTTGTCCATGCAACCACCAAACCGTGTTGTAAATTGTAATTGGAGTTATCTATTTCCCCGGATTAACCCTTTTCCTTAGCGCCCTTTCGCATATTCACCCTCCACATTTTTTTTGACATTACGGCCTTTGAAGAATAAGAACAGCTTCGATTGGTTCTATCGACTGCACACACTTAAAGGCCCTTACGTCGCACGAAAACAACTACAAGATGGGTTTCACTGACTTCGTTAACGACATGGGTCTTCAGAGTAAGCGATGAAGATTCTTCATAGTACTGTGAAACCTTGTTAACATGTCATGAAGCTTTGGAGTCATGGCTTCGCACAAGGTCCTACATCACCGGGTAAGCTCTCGAGAAGCAGCTCGTCCTGCGTTGAATTCTCGTAGACATACCCTTTCCTTTCCCTTAAGGGCCTTTAAGGGGACTACCTCTTCCTTCTACTTTACCTGATGAGAATACATTGGTCCGTGTTTCTGAGGAGCCTAAGACACTCCTTGTGAAGAGATTCCAAGCGCCATGGGCGCATCTCTCTGACCTAGTTGTTTTGAACGCTGTTCCGATACTGAACCTCTTTTTGAACAGCCAATAGCTAATGATGATCAAGCTACGGTCCATCTCAGGCCGACGTTGCTACATTCAAAGCATTGAAGTCCACGCCCGAGCCAGCTAAATACCCTCACGCCTACCGCTGGTATAAGCACATGCAATCGCATGAGTCTGAATTCGGTTCGCTTCCTGGCGACCCTTCCAAATCACACACCGCCTACGGCCCTGAGCAAAGCGAACTTCCTACCAATCCCAAAGCACCTACTGCCGTTCCTGCAGCCGAAGCCGAGGATGATGAAGACGATCTCTTTGGGTCAGATGAGTCGGAGGATGAGGAGGCTCAGAAGGTGAAAGAGGCAAATCTGGCGGCGTACAAGAAGAAGAAGGAGGGCAAGGTGAAGCCTGCGGCGAAGAGTATTGTCACGTTAGACGTCAAACCTTGGGGTGGGTCTGATGAGTACAATTATGAGGGACTCTAGACTGACATTCTTACAGATGACGAAACCGATATGAAGGCATTGGAAAAGAACATGCGCTCCATTGAGATAGACGGGCTAACGTGGGGTGCATCCAAGCTTGTGCCGGTAGGATACGGCATCAGCAAGCTGCAAGTCAATCTGGTCGTTGAGGATGAGAAGGTCTCAATCGACGACTTGCAAGGCCAGATTGAAGGCGACGAAGATCATGTGCAATCCACTGACGTGGTGAGTTAAATTTGGTCTGTAGAATTTGGATCATCAACTGACAATGGCATACTCCAGGCCGCTATGCAGAAGCTCTAGATAAGGCGATGGAAAATGGTGTAAATAGAAAGCGTTGCTGCATGACCTTGGTCACCTGCCTCTATTCCACTTGTCACATCGACGGTGTCATGAATGGCATCCTCATAGACCAAAACAATGAGCTACAAAAATCAAAAGGCATGCTTGTAGTCACTCATCGAACTTGCTTCGTGTGTCAAGTGGGCTAAGCGCATTTATCATAAAGCGCCGACCCTGAAACGCGTTTTTTGTATACGAGGTCTTTCTGGAGCCAAGAGAACCAAATCAAGCTCTAACTACACTTTATATGCCTATCAGCTCTTCTCTCGACACTTCACTTGGCATTGGGCCCCAACCTGATGCTGATGTTGACCCACACCTTGCTAAAAAGCCTCGGTAATGGCCGTAGCGGGCCCTAGAATTGACAGTAACCTTACACATATGGCCCTGGGAGGAGACCATAGACCGAATCGCTGACGGTGCTCGGCATAAAATTGTGCAAAGCGCCGTGAGACTCAAACTGGCCTCTCCTCAATAACAGCAGAGCTTTAGATATGTTCGTCGCAATTTGCATGTTTCGAGGAGAGGCGTCTGCCGTACTCTCTTCAAATCGACAATTGGAAGGAAGATTGGGCGGCGAGAATGTGAATAATTCGGTGGCTGAAAGGACCTGGAGATATGTTCGTAGTTCTATCTTCCGGCTCAGGACGCATATTGTTGATTGCAGTGGGATGGTCCTATCGGAGAGAACAGATCACTATGTGTGGACATTTCACCCTTGCGCCGGTAGAAGCTTGAGGCTCGAAACATGCTAACAGGGCACTCGCGAAACTCGAGTGCATTAATAAAGTCTGAACGACCACACAAAGCTCCTCAAGGTTACCTGTAATCAGAGGGTGTGTGTCCATCAATTTCGATATCACAATAGAGAACGAACCTCTTCCTTGATCGTTCAGAATTCTTGGATTTGGTTCGCGCTTGCACGGTCAATGGTGTCACATCTCGATCAGAGTTGTACGGCGCGCATAGCAGGAACAGCTAGAATGATTTGATCGGCACCAGGCTCGACATGCCTTGACTGTTTTGTGGAGATCTGGTTGGTATAGATGATAGGACAGGTTGAGAAGGCCGCAGATTCAAACTTCAGCATTGCCACGCTGCCACCCGTTCCGAGCTTGGCTATGAGTACTCTAGCATGCGTAAGCGAGCATCTGTCAACATTCAGTATCGTTTTCTTTCTGGAAATCAGCTCGAATGAATTTGACCGAGAAAATGAAGCTCTAGTTCCAACGCGCACGCACCGAAGGCTTGCCAGGGAACCGCGGTGTTTCAAAGAGAAACACGTGCACACATGTTGGAATTGATGGGAATGATCATACCCTGATCATTACCCTGGCTTCATCCCAGCCTGCTGCTGGGCAAGCGTCAGTTCCATGTTTGTCGGGAGGATGTTGGCGGCTGATGATCTCATGTGCATTAACGAAAAGGGATCGTCAGGAACGCTCCAAACAAATGACTTTAGTCCGAATACTATCCGCAGCCATCACGTTCAACGACCATGATCATTTATTTTGTCATGAGTACTTCAGGCGATGCTACGACTTGAAGATCATGAAGGGATTGGTCTCCTATAACTTGGAAGCCAGATTGGGCCTTCTGACGCCGCTCTAGGTCGCAAGACTAGCCCTCTGCAATCAAGCTGCGCATGTGTTCAAAAATGGTGAAGACGGAGATGGTCGTAGACCATGAGAAAGAAACAATCCATCTCCTGTCCCAAGAGAAAGTACGCCTCAGAGAACGCAAGAATAGAGCAAGGATTCCGGTCATTCGGCCGAAACAAAAGTTTGCGAAAGGCTTAGACAACACTACCTACCTCATCAGTCTCTAGACGCACACCAGGAGAGAATGAATACCGACCAATGCTTCGCTATAAGAAAATGAAGTCTCTGGTGCTACGATACGAACAATAGGCGTTCGCCGACGAAAAACTAGAGATATTAACTTCTCAGCTCCGTGATATGTAGATTATTGTTACTGTTCCCAGGTGGCGTCTGGATAGACCGTATCCCAGATGGACCTGAAGACTATAGCAATATAGGGTTATTAGCCAACGGAGATGAAGACAAAGATGAAGAGTCAGTTGGTGTTCGCTTGATATGAATAGCCCCCTCGGCCTCTTATTAAGCGGAAGCGAAAACTCTAGCAGCAGTCGGTGGCAGTGAGGGGAACGAATCATAAGGCGCACAAGCGCATTCCAATTATTCAGCACACCGGGGGGTAACAAATCGGCCTGGGCTCAAGGAGTCGGGGTTGGACCATGATGAAACAAAGCAGCTACGTCCCGTTACGATACTGCTACCGCTACCGCTACTGTTACTGCCATTGCTACTTCTTCTACTGCTACCAGCCAGTACTGAGATTGGACAGTAGTGCTGCCTTTTGGAGTTGTGTCAGCCGCTAGAATGTTGCATCCGAATGTTCCATCTTCCATCTTCCGTGTTCCATCTTGCACTGTTCCACATGCCACATGCCACATGGTCATGAAAGGATGGTCCGCGTCATCTCCGTCGGATACGGACGGACTTATCGCCGCCCCCGTCTCTACGGAGCCCTACGAGCACGTTGTCGTTCTCGTGCCACTCATCACTTAGAAAAGGAAACAGATGACTCAGACCCTAATTCTGTATTTTGAAATCTCGAGATGGAGATGATGAAGAAATTCATGGTCATACCAATGCCCGGTAGACATAGAGTATTAGCCAATTCGGATCCAGGGGATCAGTGTGGGGATGGAACCATGGAGTTTCAGCCGCACCACATGTTTCATGCACGCTAATCCCGATCTAGGCAACGGAGCAGAGAATGACTCTCTGCACAATGCACATGCTTCTGAAGGGTGAGTAAACCGAGGATGAAAAGGGCACTTATCTGCCACCGCCATTTGGCTGATAAATCCCTGTGGTTTGCTCCGAAGCTCCAATCTCTTTTCCCAGTCAATGCAGCCTTCTCGTGTAATCAGAGGCGAGTCGAGTCACGGGAGGGAAGAATGATGCCAAAGCTCGGAAACCCCGAACGGGCGCCCTATGCGAAGCCCGCACGCAATGGCCCGTTCGATAGTCGTCAAACTCGGCGTTTGGCTTGCGAGGCCAGGATGAATCCTTGGTCCCATGACGATGGTAACTCGCGAACAGCCTTCTCACCTTTTCTGACCGCCATTCCAGGCACCAGGCATTTCGCGCAGCACTGCCCACTACTGCCCACTTTGTAGGAGCTGATAGCCTGATGGAGATTTGTCTGGCTCGCGCCGATTTGATAGGAGCCCATGATTAGATATGCCATTAATAGTAGCCGGGAACCGCTTATTAGTCTTGATTCCACAATGGTGACTAAATCGAGGAAAAAGACCAGTATACGGTTTAGCTCACCTGAGCCCTTACCAGAAGAGGAGACCAAGTCGCGCGATTTGTGCAGCCCTATGGCACGTTCTATTGTTAATCCAAGCTAATATGGTCAAGTGGAACGGCTTGATGCTGGCTTCGCCTAAATCCGCAGTCAAAGCCCCGAGGTCCATAGGGAGGAAAGGCTAATTGTCAAATTGACTGGTGGAGAGTGCGTTGAAATGCATTGCTATTGGTGCATTATGATGTGCATCAAGCAATTTTTGCGACTGCCTGAGGAAGCTTGACCTCCAAGACGGTCAAAGACCGTACCACATGCCGCACGCTGTAACGTTGAGGGCAACGCAACGTTCCCCTCTTCAAGGCGCCCCAAATTTGGCATCATTGGCATCGTTGCCGTCTCATTCGTCCCTGGCCTTCCAGAGTGCCTGGTCCTTGTTATCTCGTGTGCATTCGATTCTGGTAGATCCAGCAGTCCTAGAGTGGTAGCAATCAGTACAGTGCTTGGTAAGGTACCTACTTCTTGTGCTGCTCGAGTTGGAGCTACGTACTTTTAGATACCTACCCTACGGACCCCATCTCGCTACAAGGCTGCAGGCGATGATTAATGTGGGATCGTCGTGGTGCCACGTTCGGGTCGTGCATGAATCATGAAGCACCCTGCATCCTCTAGCATCCTCTCGGTAATTCCATGTGCGTGCAGGGATCATCTATTTGATCCGTTCCCAGCTGCTAGGTACGCAAAAGTAGTGTATCAACGAATAAATACACGGCTCCAATATCCCTCCGCCGCAGCGATTATATTAATACTGCCAGACCTCCCCTCCAAATCCCTCAAACTTCCTAATCACTTCATCCCTCGGATACGCCCGGTACAGACTAACAGGCTTCTCTGGTAGCAGTCCCTGCCTGATACTCACCGCCCACTCACCTCTCCCACCCCCCGCCAGCCTTTCACATGAGAACCATGCAACGCAATAGCAGCTACTCGCTGCCCTACCCAGGCCCAACTTCACCCAAATATTCTTCAAGCCATAGTACCAGCAGTGCCTTCAGCGCCAGCGCCAACCCAAACGAAGACTGGACCAAGATATCAGACCTGGCTGAGCGTCGACGAATACAAAACAGGATCGCTCAACGCAACTACCGTAAGTGTCGCCATCCTCACTCGACCGTAAGTAAGTCAGCTCAAAGATTAGTGCTGAAGAGTGAATAGGCAAGAAGATAAAGAGACGTCTTGAAGATCTCGAACGAAGAGCAGGTTCATCATCAGCCTCACCGGAGCAGTCACACGCAGAGCTAGCGCCCATGATTCAAGAGAGCCACACACATCGGAGGAATGAGGAGGGAGTGAAGCGAAAACCATCGAAACAGGACTCGGCAGCTTCAAAAGGCCGCCGCAGATCACCAGAACCACTCTTGACTCCATACTCGACACCAAAGACCGGCCGTTCATCAAAGTCACCATATCACTACCACAGAGAACTCTCCATCTCCCCTCCACCTTCGTACAACTACTCGTATTCGCTACCCGAGCCCGTTATCCAGGCACCTTATCCACAACATTCGCCCTTCAACACCCTACCTGCACCGTATCCTGACTACTCCGGGCAACCGCAGTACCTCCCGCCGCTCCCGACGACATTGCCTAGCATGGTGCCATACGAGCTTGGACCATCAAAACACAACGGCTTTCTCGACGAGGACATCCTCAGTCAATATGAAACCGGCTATGCACCATTCGCCGGCATAGATCTGCCTATGCAACAGTCCTATCAGGACTCCAATGCTCATGTAAATCATCCCGAGTACAGCTTCCACTTTCAGTCAATTTGCTACTATCCAATGTCTTTTCTTATCTCCTGTTCCAGAAAAAAAGATGTCTCAATTTTCAATGTCTTTTCTGGCCAACAATTCACGGGATCATGACTAACGGCATATCTGACAGACACCGCCCTTGTCGCATTCACATTCATTCGAGTATTCGAGGGACGGATCGCCATCGATGATCTTTCCAGGGACACCGGTCTCGATACCGGATTCACCTCGACTTGTCATTCGGTAAAAGTGGGCAGGATTTCTTTATGGCGGCGGAGTTGGGCGTCTAGGGACTATATAAGGAGAAAATCTATGATATCGGCGGCGCTTGTCAGGCAAAGATCGGTTTCTGGAGCGTGACCAACTGCGACGAGACCGGTGGCCTTTCTCAACTTCCATGTAAAATTTAACCCTTTGTCGTACGACATAGACCATATCATGCGAGCATCAGCTGCGGTTCTTGCCACGGCCAATCACGCTCCCTTGTGAATTGTCCAGAGCGATGTACTCATCGAGCCTTTGGTGCTTCCTATACCGCGCTTGTGTTGTAACGGCCCTTTGCTTCATTGATCGTATAGTGGTGACTAGGGTCCAGCTAGAATGCATGTTCGGCTCTAAAAGTACTGACGAGGGTATTCAACGTGAATCACGGCTGTCGTCCCTTTGCCAATTGCAGCGAGAATTGTGCTCTGGAATGGGGGTACGTTTGTGTGGATGAAACAGCCGAAGAACGGGAAATGAACTTTCGCACTAGCGCTTACACTAGTCACAGAGCTTTTGACTCGTTGAAATTTGAACGATATCTAGTCTACTCGATCATCCTCAAAAATGTTTCGACTGAAGAGGCAGCGGCTCACAACCGATGGCCTTGATCGAGTCACCGCGGCTAGCGATGATGCTATCGGTCTCGACGGAGAAGAATCGCAAGATACCGCCAAGGAACAACGGACAAAACAGCAGAAAGGGCGTTCGTTATTTGTTCGCTCACTACCCGAGGATGCTACATCAGAGAGCTTGACCAACTTTTTCTCCCAATCTTTTCCTCTTAAACACGCAACCGTTGTTATCGACTCAGAGTCCAAGCAGTCCAAGGGGTATGGTTTCGTCACTTTTGCCGACGTCGAGGACGCTCAAATTGCCAAAGACACCTTCAATGGATCTTTGTTCGAAGGCCGAAAAATCAAGGTCGAGCTTGCAGAGCCTCGACATCGTAAAGCAAACCAAGATGGGCTCACTGGTGCTACGAAAGCGAAGGCTCGGCCAGGTCCGCACAAACGTGAAGTGCAGCAGCCATCAAAACTCATTGTGAGGAATCTGCCTTGGACAATCAAGGAGCCAGAGCATCTGGCAATCTTATTCAGAAGCTACGGCAAGATCAAACACGTCACTCTGCCCAAAAAAGAATTGGGTCTATCAGCTGGGTTTGGCTTTGTTATACTACGGGGAAGGAAGAACGCAGAGAGGGCTTTGGAAGGTGTTAACGGGAAAGAGGTTGACGGAAGGACACTGGCTGTGGATTGGGCCGTGGAGAAGGAGGTTTGGGAGACAATGCAAACTGGAAGTACGGGACCAGAGACTCCGGACCGAGATGTAAATGCCCCCCCAGTGGAGGAGCATGACGAAAGCGTCAAATCGGAAGATAGCCACCACATCGATGTCGAAGACATTCCACAGAGTGATATCGAGCGGTCTGCTTCCTCGGTTCGCGAAGATAGTCAACCCACGTCGATGGAAGACAAGGACGTCGACGAGGGTTCGGTAGCGCGGACGAAGGACAGCAGCACTTCGACTCTGTTCGTACGGAACCTCCCATTCACCAGCACAGATGAAGTGTTGACAGTTCATTTTGAGCTTTTTGGCCCTGTGCGGTATGCAAGAGTAGTCCTCGACCATGCGACTGAACGACCGAAGGGTACAGGGTTCATCTGTTTCTACAACAAAGAAGACGCGGATTCTTGTCTTCGAGAGGCTCCTAGGATGCAGCTCACGCTAATTCCAGGGAGCACAACGACCAAAGGCACAGGTAGTTCCTCGACAAAGCAATCCTTACTCGAGGATACGAGCCTGGACCGTTCCGGACGGTATACAATGGAGGGTCGGGTGCTCCAACTGTCTCGAGCAGTAGATCGCAACGAAGCTACGCGACTTACATCTGCCAGCAGCAATGTACGAGATGCCCAAGATAAAGATCGAAGGCGATTGTATTTGCTCTCAGAGGGCACTGTACCCTCTAATACCCCTCTTTATGGTCAGCTGTCGCCGTCCGAGATTAAAATGCGAGAGGACAGCGCAAAACAGCGCCAATCGCTCATTAGAAGCAACCCTACGCTCCATTTCAGTTTGACACGTCTGTCTATTCGTAATCTGCCACGTAGCATAACTTCTAAGGGTCTCAAGGCCCTTGCGAGAGAAGCTGTTGTCGGCTTCGCAAAAGATGTCAAAAGTGAGCTACGAAAGCAGTTATCGAAAGAGGAGCTCTCACGAGGTGGCGAAGAGATGAAGCAAGCCGAGAAAGCTCGAAAAGCGAAAGGAAAAGGCATTGTCAAGCAGGCCAAGGTTGTTTTCGAAGGCAGGGAAGGGAGCAAGGTAACAGAAGACAGCGGCGCCGGTCGAAGCAGGGGCTATGGCTTCATTGAATATTCCTCACATCGGTGGGCTCTAATGGGGCTTCGGTGGCTGAACGGGCACGCAGTGGGGCCTGCAAAAAACTCCGACGGTACGAATGATAAAGAGAGAAGGAAGCGGCTGATCACAGAGTTTGCGATCGAAAATGCCCAAGTAGTTGGAAGACGGCACGAGAGGGAGACAAAAGCTAGAGAGAGATCAAGACTCGTTTCTGAGAAACGGGAAAATGGGGAAATTCCAAACATTGTGTCAAAGCGTTTGTCCAAAGACCAATTGATGGCTAAGACGCGAAAAGGTACGAAGAGGAAGCGAGTATCCAACCCAAAGTCTCTTGTGCAGGATCCTACACCAGAAGGCCCGAATGCCAACGCAGCAAGCGATGAGTCGGGAAAGTTCGCAAAACGACAACAGATAATCGGAAGGAAAAGAATGATGCGAAGGTCTAGAAGTCAGGCAGTATCTAAGTGACGAGTAGCGTTCGCATCATCAATTGTTGATTGAAAGATGAAGGTGGACAGACGAAATGAAGCAGTCAATTCTCTCAGCTCGCACATAGCGAAGAATTTGAAGGCCGCAATCTGGTAAAGCAGATACATGTGTTTGTAATCGAAGTTACGAGTAAGGCCGTATTGCTCAGCGTGCGATCTGGATTGAACCGTGCAGTACCGATACCTGAGTCACTTGCTCTTCCCCATGGAATCTCTTCCAAGAGATGTGATCAATCTCCACAACAGTTCCTTCCTTTCCGATCTTCACGGCGTGTGCTTGTCAAAGCTGGCATCTCGATCATGTAAACAGATATATACCAATAATGTGACATGTCTTTGGTGCAGGGGATTTGTCCCATCCGCGTGAGTGTTGCAATGACTGACAACATTATTTCGGGCAATGCAATGGAGCTCCAGCTATGCCCGCACTGCCTTAGTTTACTGCTTGCTCTCGGCGGAGACATATTTGGACGCGTTCTGCAGGAGCTTTACGCGACAGCAGGCCCAAGGCTGGAGATGATACGGACACCTGAGCCGTGACTATCAATAGGGAACAGCGTTCGATGAGCCATCCCTGGTTGCCTGAAGAGCTACCTGCTTCCCAGGAATAACAGATCATGCGTCCTGCTTTCTCGATACTCGATGCCGGCCAACCGCAGGCACGTATGCATCTCGCACTCGCACGAGCGACAGCTAAGCCATGCTGGTTGCTGCAGAATCTCGTCGATCTCAACCACGGATCGTTTAGATGCAAACATCCACTCGCGTTGATGCATGCAGCCTAATAGGGATGTGGGGGCCAGCACGAGGATCTCCGAACTCGGGGCTTCCACGGATGAGGCTCTCGAGTCTCGAGGCTAAAAAAAAATGTCGAACCGCAGATGACCGGAGACTGATACGAGCGGGGCGTTATTTTTGCGGGAAATAATCCGCCAAGCCTTTTTCACTATCACATTGACAGAGTAAACATAATCGTCAAAGCGCAATCGTGCTGCACAACGGGGCGTTGTATTTCGCGCTTCTAGACCATTCAGAGCTGCACCTTGCCCACTATGTTGTATCGCTTGCTGAAAAATGTGTACCAATCCTTAAGGACACCTTTCTCCTTCTCCGGCAAATCCTGCCACTCAGGTCTACAGTCCTCAGGCTTGAGTGAAGATTGAGCGAGGGCTCGTGAGGCATCTCTTCCGGCAAACACTGGGATTCTGGTCAGCTGTTGAATTTGTGTCGGCAGAGGATTTGGAAGCTCAAATCGGAACGGCGTGTCGGTACCATTGTATGGGTTCTTGGGAGAGTAGGCTGTGTTGCTGGAGACATCGAAGACCGTGCCCATGATGGCGACGTACGTAGGATACGAAGAGTCGGTGCCTGTCCCATATTCCGTTCAATTAGCCAAAATTAGGTCCCATTTCCGCAGATGCGGTATATAGCAGTCGTACCGTCACACTTGGCGAGGTCTTCAACCCTGATAGGCTCATCTCTGGGCGGGTTGAGCTTTGGGGGATCTTTAGGAGCGAACCTCTTGGGCTCTTCAATATACCCTGTTTCAGCCATGGCGGATGCTTGCGGCGATGTTGATGACTGAAATAATTAGAGGGTTGCTTGACTGCGCACTGACTTTCCTGAAGCTGGTGTTCGTAAATGATGAGTCGTCAATATTTGGGGGGCTACAAGTGCGTGGGGTGTGGGGAATGTCATTGTGAGCTAATTTCCTTATCGATAGGTATGCACTTACGCCCCACTTAGCGGGGCTACTGGGGGCCAAAAATAAGGTACCTAGGTCATCCTTAGTGGCTACGGACTAAGATACGGAGCTCCTCGTTCTACTGGTTAAGAATGTGCCTCGGCGGTGGACAAGTAAAGTGCTCAACTTCCCCCAAAATCCCTAGAATTTTGGCTATGCTTGGCACTAGAGAACTAAAAAGTCCGACTTGCCATCTCGTCTGGATATGCCCACGACGACATCAAGGTGCCTTGACCGGCTTTTGCACCATCAACGTCAGCAACGAATGGACGATCTCCGCTGCAGCCAATACTGTTGTTTCGCCTGGATTGTCGTAGATCGGAGCAACTTCCACAACGTCTGCACCGACGACGTTGGTGCCTTCGAGACCGTCCAAAATAGAAAGCAGCTCCCTTGTTGTCCATCCTCCAACCTCTGCTGTTCCAGTCGCTGGTGCAAAGGCAGGATCAAGCACGTCAATGTCGACGGATATATAGACCTTAGTATTACCCACCCTTTCCCTGAGTCTCTTGATCACGCCGTCCACGCCAATGCGGTCAATATCTCTGGCCTTGATAGTATCAAAGCCGCAGCGCAGGTCGTTGCGTATGTCTCCCTTACGTCTTATCAAAGGTGCTCTGATTCCCGCGTGGATGGACGAGTTTTGTATCAAGCCTTCCTCATACGCAATGTGGAGGAAGGTTCCTACAATTTTGTTTGAGTTGGCATCTTGACGTCCTGGATTCCACAAGGGAGGCTTTACCGTGATTTACGCCACTGGATTGCTACTGATCAGCCGAGGGAGGATCTTTTGAGGCAGCCTTTGGAAAGAGGCTTACGCATATTGTGACAAACCTCCACCCAAAACATTCGGATCCCATGTATCTGCAATACAATATATTTAGCATCATTGAAGCATTTGGATGAGGCTATCTACCTAAATGGGAGTCAAAATGAATGACTGAAACTGCGCCCCATCGCGACGCCGCAGAGCGAAGCGCTGGAAGTGTGGTACTAAGGGGTCTCGACCTCAGCTTTTCTGTCTTAATGTAGCAATCCTGCTTCGAGACAGTTTCAGGTAGAAAAAAGCAGCTGATACCATCTTCACATATGGCTTGGGGCTTCAATGGTGGTACTCATTTGGAAGAAATTGATCCGATAATACATACGTATGATCTCCTCCTAGCGTAATGATACGAGGTATCAAGGACTTCTCTATTGCCTTAGCCTCTCGACCGGAGACAACCTTTGGCCATGCATCCACATGTAAGCAATGTGTTGAAACTAGTAGCCGAAATAGCGTTACACCTCAGACTTGTGCTGAATGAGACATTGAGAGTTGAGCTCTTACCTTGTGTGCCTTGTCCAGCTGCTTCAAGGCAATGGTATTGTCAAGAAAGGTTATGGGGGCATCTCCACAGTCTAAGATCTCAGCCCAGCTCTTATAAGAATTCTCCCCTGTCAGGCTGGTCAATTTTGGCAGGATCGGGTGAGGTGGGAAAGCCTCACCGGTATATATGCTCCAAGCAAAGGATGCAGACATTCGGCGAGAACCCCGTCGAATACCAGTGGGTCCAAACCGAGCTCCTGGTCTTGCAGTCACGGCCTTTTGGATGTTAGCCAATATATCCTACTCGCAACCCACCACCCTGATGTTCTGCTGTTTCACGATTTCGATGCATGTATACACATAGATAATACTCTGGTTACGCTGCTGCCTCCGTATCATGAGTAAAATTCGATAAGGAGTACTGACTGTGTCGAATGGTGCCCCCATAATGGCGATATCGTATGCGTCCACATCCGAATCGCTGAAACAATTGGCGTATGGCAAATTCGCAAAAGTCATTAGGCCAGAGAAATCGCTACCAGTTGCGATATCGACGTCGTCATCGTTAGTCAGGGGCTGTTGAAGTCTTTTGATGCCGGAGACTGTTGGGAAGTTGATGTCACGAGTATCAACAGAGAATGGCAGCAAGAGAAACGTCGCGTGCAAAAATACAGCTCCAAACATGATTTCAATAGGAGAGAAAAGGGTCTTTTCAGCGAGGCAATGTAAGTAGAAATAAAGCAGAACTTGTTTTCTAAAACAATCAAAGTACAAGGGGGAGGCCAAGTATCCAATGGCAGCATCGATACCTCCTGAATGTGATTGCTTTAATACTTTAGTACTTAAGAGACCTGAAATTATGCGTCAAGTAGCCGCGTTTCTGCTAAGGAAGCGCCAAGTGGGATGACTATTAGCCATACAACACATACCCTACACTTGAGTAACGTAGAGTACGCGCACTCCTACAACGGCCGCAAGGGGCTTCACAAAATGAACTTGGAATCACTGTTACTCACGACAAGCATTTAAAAAAATGCCCGGTGGGGAGTACGTACGGGGGTCGAAGGCTTGTTCAGAGATCGTTGTTTTCTATCTTACGTTGTAAAGTTGCGTGGTATAGGAACAATTGAAGATCGGGTATACGCAACCAGCTCACATAAATCAGTCCTCAAACAAAATTCCATAGGGAGACAACGATTTGTAAGTCCTTCGGCCAGATGGCCTGCCACCCATGCCTGTCTCTCTCTCAGCACCAGATCGTCCGGGCATGTTGATGGGTGCCTTCTGTGCACCGTCTCCGTCAAAGCTAGGGCGCCCAGCAATCTTCACTTTCGGCTGCATGGTGTTTTGGATTGGCGAAATAGCGCTACCTTGACTTGCGGGCCTACTGTCCGCGCCTCCAATCGAGGTTCTGCTTTCCTGGGCAACAGAAATGCGTCGATCGCTGCTTGAGGTGACAGAATATGCTCGTCCAGCAATCTTTGGCTCCGGCCGAACCACGAGAGGCTGTTGAGCTGAAACACCCATTTCTGACGGCTGCCGGAGCATCGGCCGCCTTGGCCTGGGCCTTCCAATCTCGTCGGAAATTATGGACTCAGAGGTGTCGCTCCATATGCTGGTAGAAACGCCACTAAGATTGCCCCTGTGTCGTTTTTCGTCCGACGGTAGGGCATCTGCCGTATGGTTTGACCCTTGCCGGCTGGCACTACTCGTCTCTTGTGGAAACTGTTCGCGCTCTCCCTCCCCGTCATCTTCATCGTCTACAAGGATCACCATCCAGACTCCTATGGTATCGTTGACGCCTAGAAGCGGGGTGCAGTGAATCCATCGAGCTCGAGATTTCGTGGCGGTCTTGGATACCCACTGTACCTTGGCGGTAACTTTCCTGCCAACTTCAAGAGCATGAGCAAGGTCGCCGCGGACCCGACTACTGCCCCCAATCCGACTCAGCAGAGGTGACTGGAGGATTCCAGGTATCCGCAGATCAGGCGAGGCAAACAGGATACGGAGTGATGGATACGGTCGAACCAGAAGATACTGAGATTATCAGCGAAACTGCCTAGACATCGTGCTCCGTACCAGGTACTTACGGTTTTATAGTAGCCCAGAGGTGGAGCACTTCCCTGTCCATTGAGTTGAAAACTATCATCTAGGTCTGTAAGAGGCGTTCTAGACGTTGAATCATCATCTCGCTGCCTTTTCTCCGACTCTGTATAGATGAAACCCTCTTCAGACTGAAGCTGTTGACGCCGTCTTAGCGTAATCAGCTGTTCCAGCTCTTGCGAATTGAACGCTTCGCTCAGTTGCTCGAATTCGTCCCGTTGGAGAGTCTCTTTCGGGATGTCTCGATTCGTCACATGGCTTCGATGCTCGTTGTTGCGTTCGACGATTTTCTTTAAAGTTGCAAGCCCCGTACAGTCGTTGACAAGACCAGTGATATCAACTTGAGCGCCAAGGTAATACCTGACCTTGCCAGATTGATCACGCAAGGGTACACACATGATGAGGTTAATGAAAGGCGATCCATCCTTGCGGCTGCATCACAAGGACAATTAGATTGTAGGGGGTTTCTTGTTGAAGAATACTTACTAATTCAGTAGGACTTCGCAGTGTTCCCGCTCAGCATCAAGGGAGGAACGAAAGCGAGAAATCCCAAACGGGCTTGTTCTTGCTCCTCCCAGTGTGCGGCAATTGCGCCCAAGGAATTCAGTCCTCGGATATCCTGTCATTCTGTGGAATTCTACAAATTGTTAGCTAGTTTGACAACAATGGGTAAGTTAGGCGCGGGGATCACCTTCGGAAGTGAAGACGATTGGATTGTCTGGACGAGACGGATCTGAGAGCACGAAGACTTCAGCCAGGCCATCCGCAATGCCGGGCGATCCCGGATCCTCCTTTCCAGTGACCCTGTCTACCAATGCCACGTCAACTGTCCGAACATAAATATATGCGATGAATGCTGGTAGATCGTCTTTTACGAGAACATCCAACGCTCGATCAGCCTTGTCCTCCATGACCCAAGCCATTGTGGCGCTGTTGGCTTCTGAGGTAAAGGCATGACCAGGGATCGGTTCAAGGCCTCTGATGATAGCCTCTGCATATCTGATAGTTTTCAATGCTTTGACGGCATCAAGATAGTAAGCGAGTATAGGAACAGAGTCTGGCCGATATGTGCGCAGGAAGTCAGTGAAGTTCAAAGACAATGTAGAGTCTGCAAGGATCAATTGAAGATGCTCGCGAGAGAAGAGCAGCTCCGAGCGCTTCTCCAGAGGCGCGATTGATTCAATCGCATTTTCGTTATTATCAGGGGGGTCTTCCAGAGAAAAGTCACGAGTTTTGGGTTCTTCGCTCTCAATTGAGGCAGCGAGACCGCGATCGGAGCTGCGCCACGGCCTGACAGTATTGAGGTCGTCATCCAATTCCGCTATAGGTGATAATGGGGGTGGGCTGTCCGTCTCGCAGGGTTCTGAAGAGACGTGTGGAGCACCGAAAGGTGTAGCCTCAGATGTCGAATGTTGTCTGCTGTTCATTGAGCATTTGCGATACGGCAAGACAGTTCGGAAAAGAACACGTACTCGTCTAGGCGTACCAAAAACGCCGTGGCAGCGCTGCGATTGGAAGGATTGTAAAAATCATATTTGGAAGGATCGAAGCCATCATCGTTCTTGAGCCCATAGTCCACGCCTGGGGTTGGGACTTGGAGTACATGGCCATTGATTTTGTGTGTCATATAGTTATTGGCCATGAGCGGCAAAGAAATCTAGTATGAAGGTAAAGCCATGCAGCGTACGCGCAGCCCGCTCAATCTTCTAATATCGCAGCTATACACGAGTGGTAAAGTAAACACGGACTTGACTGAGGATTAGGTTTTGTAAGCTTTTTTGTGGAAAATGACGCCAGATGGCAATTGAAAATGGAATAGTGATATTTCAAATAACAATCATGATGACAGAAGAATATCTATTAACGTAGGAAGACTGAAAGGGAAGAAGTGGAAAAGAAAATGAAACATCCAATTATTCTTTTTTCCATCCTCGTATTATCATACGGTATTATTATTATCGCAAGTCGTGACGCAAATCGACCGAGGGGTCCAACAGAATAGCAAATGACAAATTGACAATGTACAAGGGAGCATTCCTTAGGCTCTAAGCTAGCAATTTAGGAGCTTGGGCGTTGAGTGATTAAAGTAACAATGCACCAGGCGTCACTGTGCCGTGGGGTAGGAACCAATGATAAAGAGGAAAGGCATGGATTTGGTCTGAATGACATCGGAGCAGAGCCCTTAGGGCCCCCTGTTTTGAGGCCCTTTGGGGAATGGTCGTGAGGCTCGCAAGCTTGACTTTCCTGGGTTGACCCATGAGCTTGCGCCATACAGTGTAGCTCATCACACTGCCGTTGCATGTAGGCATGCATGGTAGATCATCGCCGGGCCAGGATCTCGAATCGTTTTTTTGAATCTCGATGCCTCGATGGCCTTTCGATCGTGTCCTTATAATTAATGGCCAAAGGAAACTTTGCCGAAGGTCAATGATCATCGGGAACGCAAGCTGATTGGCTGGGAATGGGGGGGAAATTGGACATTGGACCCTTCATCTGTTCAGTCTGCACCATCTCGCAAACTGTACCCGAACCCGTAGCTTCTGCCACAGTGAGCTATGACCGAATATGGCCTTGGTCAAATTGGATGCCGAGTGCGATATGCATCCCGGTCACATCTTCTGGCAAGTCAAACCGTCAGAGAAGCAGAGAAATTTAGGGAAACAGCCGCGGCTCTTCCATAAACCCTCGCTTTTCAGGCAAATGCCATTCTCTTGGATCAAAGTTTACCGGTGACAATGTCTTTGGTAACGAGAGAAATGGCTGCTCAAAATGGAAAATTGAATGGCGACTTGAAGCAAAGTGACGACCGACTCCCCATCGAGCGTGCAGGCAATACTCAGCTCGCGCAGCGCAAAGGCTCATACAACAACAAGGGAGACGAGTTATCGCGAGACTACAACCCGCCGCCCTCCTCCTACTCCGTTCCCAAACAGCATGGAGGCCTCGACAAGAGCGCAAACGGACTGGCCGACTTCTTCAGTACCGAGGTGTTCCAGATTGTCTTACACAATCCCACCACTGCCCATCGTCTTCTCAAGTTCAGTCAAGCTCGCATGTGTGGGGAGAATATGGAATTCTTGGAGAAGGTTGGTGCTGCCGCTCTTCCACTGATTTGCCTCGCTTATGGTGGTGAATCTGCGTAGGTGGACCGTTACAATGCCCTCTTGGACGAGTTGACGACCATCATGACCGATATACATTACTCCTATACGGCAACCGAGGCGCCCAAACAGCTAGGCATTCATGTGAACTTGATGAGACGGATGAATGCAGACATCAAAGCAAGCACCATGTCAACTCTACCGTCCATGGAATCGATATTCACAGAAGCACAAGACAGCGTAGAAAGTATCCTGAGAACTGCCGTCTACCCACGCTTCGTCAAGTATCAGATGACCAACAGCGCTTCCAAAGCCTTGTCTACCGACCGCAGCAAATACCAAGGTCTTGGAGACTGCTTCTGTTTAACAGACCCGAACAAGGCTGACAATCCCATTGTTTATGCATCGGATGGATTCGTTTCTGTGACCGGCTACTCAAGGCCCGAAGTCGTTCCACGCAACTGCCGATTCCTTCAGGGCAACTACACAGACCGAACCGCAACGAAGCGACTGAAGGCCTCTATCGAGGCAAGGGAAGAGACTGTGGAGCTTTTGCTCAACTACAAAAAGACAGGAGAGCCGTTCTGGAACTTGCTTTACGTTGGTATGCGTCCCTGCGTTTGTCCCTTGTCGCGGCATGATCCATTCGGCTCACATAAAGATCAGCGCCTTTGTTCGATGCGGAAGGCAACTTGAAATTCTTCATTGGCGGTCAAATCAATTGCTCGACGACCATCCGTAGCAACACCGACGTTCTGAAGATACTCTCCATGTCTGACGATCCAGAAGACGACAAGGAAGCTGCTCAGTCGGTAAGAAGCATCAAGCCAAATAAGAGGAGCTTTTTCGGATTCTCAAGGAAAGAGAGGTACGTTATCTCCGTATGGCTCCTTCCCATTCATGACTTTGTTTTGAGGCGTAGGACATGTTTCGAAAGCAGTGGGCATGTATTCCCGTTCCCTGTGCTCTGTATCATTTTCGTCATCTTTTTTGACCCACTTGGTCTTGGGTCATAAACAGGTTTCTTCCACCTTCTTCATTCTGCGTTCTAGACTGGTGACATGACTCGAGTTTGTGTCATACTTACGATTCCCTCTTGTCGTTCTGCTTTTTGAGCTCGTCGCGAGATACGACTCTGTTTTGTTCAAAGGACATGCTGACCCCGAAATTCTCATCAGCGTTCCTCAGCTTCCTTCTAGCACCAAACGTGTAGAGGTGCGTGGGGACGGTATGGAGCAGGGACTACTCAAACAAATTGAGAAGATGAACTTCAGGACTCAGATGGAGGTTTTCTATACTGCGTATTCGAAGGTACGTCTTTTCAATATCCCCCGACACTTTTATCTTGCCTATGCCTGGTATTGACATCTTGCAGTACCTAGTGGTTAAATATGACAGCTTCGCCATCTCGCACTACTCGCTCGGCATTGTAGATATTCTGGGTATAACCAACAGCAGCAGCCACGGCTTTGTTGGTAGCAACATATTCAAATTCTTGGCACAGCACACGACAGCGTTGCCACGGGAATACAAATCAAAGGTGAAGGATGCCTTGAAACACGGCCAGGCCATCTCCGCAAGCGTAAACCTATTCACGCTCCGATCACTGGAACGTTCCAAAGGAGATGACAAATTCTTCACGCACTGGACACCTTGTAAAGATGAGCGCGGGGTTGTTGCCTATGCTGTGGTGACGCTGAGCTCTACCCTGTACGAGTGAATTTCTGTCATATACCCCTTTCTGAGCATTTGTTATTTTCGGGTCGGGTTTCCAAACCCAACGATGATATAAACAGGGGAGGGCTAGGCGTAAAGATTTTAATTATTTAAATTAAAAAATAATATAAATAAGAATATAGAATTTAATTATACGACTATTAAATGTTAATTAATAGAAGTATATATCTTAAAGAAAATATACGATAATTCGATACTTAAGATAATAATTATATTTACTAATTAAAAAGATATAAGATATTCTATAAGATATTCTATATTAAGTAATATTATATTATCTTCGATAATAATATAAATAAATTTAAATATTATATCTTTTTTTTAATATAAATTCGAAATCTTAGCGATATATATTATAAGATAATATATTTATAATATTATATTATAAAATAATATATATATAAGATATCTCGATTAAGATATATAGAATATAATAAAAAGCTTAAGACGTTATTTATAATTATTATATTTACTTAAGAAGTTATATTTAATAAAATAAGATAGATATATAATATCGTAATACGATTAATAATAATTTAAGCGATAGCGATATAGTATATATCGAAGGAATTAAAAGAAGTTTAAGAAATATATATAGAATATTTAAAAACGATTTGAAATAACTATTTTAGAGGAGTTATAGAAATATAGAAAGTAATTAATATACGCGTTCTAGAGATAGAGATAGAGATTTCTTCGATATAAATTATTTTAAATAAAATAATTCTTGAAAGTTAGATTATAAGAGAAATATATTTAATAATTAAAAGAAGTAATTTTTATATTAAAAAAAATAAAAAATAAAGATAAAGATATAAAATAAGAGAGATTTTAGCGAAAAAAAAGAAGTTAAAAATTTTAAAAGTTATAGAGCTCGCTAATTAAAATATAATAGAAAATCTAAATTAAATTTAATATACTCGAAAAGTATAAAAGTTAATAAAAAAATTATTAGAATTATTATTAATAAAAGATTTTTAAATAAATAAGAATACTAATATAATAGAAAAAATAAAAATTAAATTAAAGATCTCTTTATTAAAATCTAATTAAAGTTAAAATTTCGCTTTTATTTAAATACGTATAAGAAAAATTAAATTCATATACTTTCTCTATATAAATAAAGTATTAAAGATTATTTTAAATAGTTATATATATAATTAAAGAAAAGAAAATATTAAATATATTCTAATATTTTATTTAAAATAAATAGAAAAAAAATCTTAATAAGAGAGATTAAAATTAGCGATATAATAGCTATATTAAGATTCTTAAAAGAGATAAAAGCGATTACTAGATATATTACTTAAATAAGACTTTTAAATTAATATTTATTTACGAATAAGGACTTATAAATTAAATTCATAACCACTTTTTTTTAATTAGGACTATCGAGTAAATTTGATAAGCGGTCTTTAATGAGCGATATTTGAATTCCTTACGCTTTAAATTTAGAAATTCTTTTTCTATCTAAAAGCCCATATTTTATTCTATAATTTAAAAAAAAGATCTTAAAATTTTAATAGAAAATAAAAAAGTTATTCTATATGTTAATAACGTATATCTATTTTTTTAATAAGAGAGCTCGAGAGAGCTAGCGAGCTAACTTAGCCGGTCTAACTAAAGAGCGTAGCGAACTCGAATTTATAATTGGCTATATATATAAATTCAAGGTTTTTAAGCTTAGCTCTATCTTATTCTTTTATATATACTAATTAATATATAAGTTTAGGTCTATAAATTAAATTTATAGAAAGTAACTAATTTTTAAATCTAATTTCGAGATTGAATTCGACTCTCGAAGAGTAAAAATATTTTAATTTAAAACTTACTTAAAATTATAAGATCGAACTTAATAATTCGTAGATTATTTAAAAGTATAAATTACGCTCTATAATTTAAAAAAAAATTAAAAAAATTAATAGAAAAAGAGAAGTTATATGATTAATAAGTTTTTAAAAAATTAATTAACTTTAAATTAATTGAAATTTAATTAATAAGAAATTAATTTTCATATTATTAATAATTCTTTCATATTAATTATTATTATTTTTAATTTTTCAATTTATAGAATTTCTATTAATTCTACGAATTTTACGCATTTTATAATTTTACAATTTTTACAATTTTACGATTTTTTAGCGAGGGAGATTTATGAATTCGAACCGAGAAGGGAGCGGTATAGTTTCGAATTTTATTGAAATTATTACTACTCGACTATCTAAGCTTATATAAAAGATTATTCTTAATAAAGTAAATAAGTTTTTAATAAGCGATATTTGAAATCTTTATCTTAAAATATCTTAAAGATTAAATTTAATAATTTTTAATTTATCTAAAAGCTTATATTACGTTCTATAATTAAAAAAATCTTAAAATTTTAATAAAAAATAAAAAAGTTATTCTAAAATCGAATAATATATATCTGTTTTTTAATTAGGGCTGCGGGCTATTAACTATCGAGTAAATTTAATAAGCGATATTTAAATTCTCTACTTTTAAATATTTATAAGACTAAATTTAGAAATTCTTCTTTTATTTAAAAGCCTTTATTTATTCCGTTCTATAATTTAAAAAAAAAAAACAAAATTCTAATAGAAAATAAAAATGTTATTCTAGAATCAAATAATATATATCTAATTAGAGCTATTCGACTATTATTATAGTCATAGCTATATCTATTATTAAAGAGACTTAATACGACTTAATATAGCTTAACACTTAATATAACTTAATACTCGCTAACTATAGCTTTCCTTAGAAGAATTATTATACTTTTTATTATTAAAATATTATATTTATAATATAATAATTAATAATAATATTAATATTTAACTATTATTTTAAATCGAGATTATTTTAATAATAAATTAATCGATAAAAATCTTAAGAGATTTCGAAGTATATTAATCGCTTTCGCTTATATTTATTCTATTATTTTAAACTTCGCTATTTTTAAAATTATTTTTTATTAATTTTTAATTATAATTATATTATATTAAAAAATTTAAAAAAAAATATATTAATTTTTTAATTTTTTAATTAAGCTAGCTTTAAATATATAAATAATTAATAATATTCTAAAACTATTACTTTAATTATATAAACTTCTAAATATAAAGTTATCTTAAAAGAATTTAAATCTTATTAATCTCGCTAATATTTATATTATTAAATATCTTATTAAAAATAATTTTAAATTCTCTTAATTATATACGAGTAAAGACCTATTAAAATTCGAATTACGTAACTCTTAGCGTTTTAACGATTACGTAATATAGTTATATAATACGCCTTAGCGTATTTATATCTAATCGCTCTTTTCTTTATAGTAACTCTAGAGTTAATATAACTAAGTATTCTATCTTTATTATCTAATAATTATTTTAATAATAATATAACTTATCGCTATAGCTACGATTATCTTTAAATATTTATATCTATTATAATAGAGATAACTATAATTATAAAAGACTTTATTAATCTTCTTAATATAGAAAATTTCTATTTTAAAATAATTATTTTAGATTTAAATAGCTATAATTCGTTATAATTTAAAGATTAAAGGCTATTACTTAAGCGCTCTTACTTTTTATTTAAAATAATATAAAGTAAGTTAAGATATATTATATCTAGCTAAAACTATCGAAGTCGCTATATAATTAATTAAATTAAATTATTATTAAGATCTTTAAAATATTATTAGCTTTTCTATATAGAATACGCTAAATAAAGAAATAATATATCTTTATTTATATATTATAAATACTAAAGAATTAAATAGCGAGTATTTAGACTTCGTATTTATTTAATTATAAAATATTTATAATAAAGGTTAAAAATTAGTTATTTTAATTATCGCTAAGAGAAATATAATTTAAAAAAAAATCTTAGTTTTAACGTTAATTACGTAATTCTTAGCTATCGCTAATAAAGATATATTAATTAAAAAAATAAGAATTTTAATTTTAAAAGCGAAAGAGGAAAGAAATCTCTATTATTATAAAGAAGTCTCGATATAAATACTCGCCTTAGAGATAAAATATTTTAATAATAAGTAAATAATCTTACGATTAATCTTAGTCTCGAATTTTAATTAAGTTAATTTTAAAGAAGATAATTAAAGTTTTTAACTATTGAAAGTAGAAGGTGAAATACTTAGTTAATTAGATTTAACTGCAGAGAGTATTACGAATATATATATCGTTAAGCCTCGATAAACCTTCCTTACCTCGGCAAACCTTCCAACTTAGTTAGATAACACATTTCGACACTCTTATATACTCGAAATGTAGCTCGAATCAAATAAGTACCTTAGAGGGCCCACCTGTGCATAAGACTGAAAGTGGACGATCTATATAAGGAAGGTTAGTCGAGCATATCTGTCCTAAATCTATCCGAAATCTATTAGGCTTCTCGAATCGCTTTCGAAGTTTATTAGTATTATATCTTATATAATAACGTCTTTAACTAAATAGTATATTAATACGATATTAAATAGAATATATTATTAAGATATAATTTTGAAAAGTATATTATTAAATATTATTATACTATTTTTTATTACAATACTAGCCCCTTCGGCTATCGCATATATATCGCGTATTACTAGGGCTAGTAATTACTAGCCACTATTAGCCACCTATTTTATATATATAAATATCCGTATATCCCATAAATCAAAAATCAGTCTTTCAGTAACAATCATTTAATTTCTAATATGTCTGATATCCTACTTTCAATAGATTATAAGCTCGGAAGCGAGTAGGGTAGTATTAAACATCCTTATACTTCCTAACATGGATATTAAACTAAGTCTTCGATAATCGTTTATAAATAGATACACCTTATGGCGACAGCCTATTTTTTAGCCCGTACCCACCGACGAGAGGGCTGTCGCTATTTAATCCCTACACAAAAAATATCGAACTAAAATCCTTATATCATTTCGAGGTCCCGAAACAATACGGGTAAATCAATCAA